ATACAGACATAATTAAAATTCACAATCATATTTCCGTATTACTTACACATTGCAAGATATTCAGCTGCAACAAAATCATTGACACTGTAGGGAGTACTAATAGTTGTGTTTAAACCACTAGCATGTTGTTGGAAGTATAGAGTCGGCTCTTGTTACTAACTCATTGTGACGCAGCTAGAAAAATATCTCAAATATACTGTATGTCTATATAGTACTAAGAAAAGATTATCGAGAAATTCAATAAGTAACAACAAACAATAATTAAGGCGATATACTGTATAATAAAAAATTTTTGATGTTAGCCAAATTTAGTACAAATATTTGGATCTTTTATATTATCGTTTATATATCACAGGGCCTTATGTCGGGTTACAGAGAGTTTTCATTCTTCATTGAAATTACGGTATGTCAATTCGTCTTATGATCATTCCGTGTAACTGTAACTCCTCTCAAAATATTACAATGACAGTATCAGCGTACGCATAACTCACTTCTAAACTCAACGACTTGTTGAATTTTACATAGCCACGTACTTATGAATAAATGTAATGTCTGTCAGAAGCCGTGCAGTAGCATATGCGTAAGATGCAGTCGAGTATATTACTGTTCCAAGGAATGCCAAAAACAAGACTGGAAAGAGCACAAGAATTCATGTAAAGCCATTGTACCTAATTTCGAAAAAGAGTATGCTGTAAAATATTCGAACGAAAAAAATCAAGTGAAACTTCTTAGAGAGATACAGATGAACATGCAATATAATGAAGACTTCATAAATACGATTAATCAATCCAATTCTCAGCACAGTATGCAAAGATGGCGTACATGGTCTGATGAACTTAGAAAATTTCTCTCATCCCCCAGACAAATTGGGGATATTTTTCCCAGAACAACAAATTTACCGTATTTTCCGGATATGGGAGGATGTGCTCTTAGTTTTAGTAACACGCCGAAGAATGATAAATTGAGACTTAGTCAAGGAAAAGTTCATGTTGCTGTTGGATTTGTAGACTTGGACTTACTTTTACAAGCAACAATTATGCAAAACGAGGACTTTGTAGAACAACCAGCCAAATTCATTGGTTATGAAGGATCCGTTTACGCAGTAGCAAAGACCAATGTAATTGTAGAAATGATTATTGGAAAAGCAACAATTAGATCAATCATAGAAGCTTGGTTTTCTGCTGTTTGGACAAAGGAAACCTTAGAGCACTTTAAGAATGCTGTCAACAACATCATGAAATTAGGAAATGCACCAGTTGACAGCCCACCCAACCCTACAAAAAGGGAACTTGATCCAGAAGTTAGCTCACTAATCTCTCATTGGAGTAAATCAGTCGAATCACCAAAATCCCGGAAAAATGCACATAAACTTTGGGCAAGTGTATTTGATAAAACAGACTCTATATTTGCTATTGTCGTAAA